TATAAAACTAAAATTTATAATAAATAAATTTTTTTAAATATATATTATATTATAACTAAGTTGTAAAAGTAAATATTTTTATAATGTAAATTATATTTTAAATTTATGATAATAATTTAAATTGTGATAAAAAGTAATTAATTTTTTTAAATAATTTTAAAATTAAGTAATTATCGAACAACGTGGTAGCTTTAATTTTTGAACTACTATACAAAGTTTCTGTGCGATTTTTTAGAATATATTTTTATTGAAAATGTAAAAGATTAATTTCTTGTAATATATTTAGTATTGAAATAAGAAACTTTATTTTTGAACACGGGTATTATTTAAAAAATTAAAATATATAAAAATATTAATATATTTTTATATGACCAAATACTCTTATAAATAACTTATATACGAATTTATAAAATACATAGCGCCTGGGGGAGAGGCGCATTGCAACGTATACGTGTAACATCTGCAACAGATGGCGCCTTTCCTCCTACTCTTTCTTTTCAAACTTGCCACGTGACATTAAGTAAATAGAAGGCGTTTAGGGGGAGGCTCTTTCTGAAAAACGCCTCCCCTCTGCTCTTTCTTCTCCAAGTGTCTACGCTGCCACATCAGCAACATAAGGCGCCTGGGGGAGACTTTTTCTGACAAACGCCTACCCCTATGCGTTTTCTATGCCACGTGTCTGCTTATGTGTCCAAAATCACCTATTTCAGTAAATAATTTTTTTTTAAATTTATTTCATGTATTTTTTATTTTTTTTTAATTTAGTGGGGTCAAAAAGCCCTAGATTACTATTTAAAATTTTAAATTCCTAATCTCTTAGGACAATGCTTCAACATTGAACAACACTCGTGTCACAACATAAACTCATGTTTTTATTGCATATGTGATTAAAATAAAGAACGGGCATATTTTACCATTGTGTTGTAAAGATATTTTTGTAAGAAAAAAATTATAAGGTGAAATGTTTAAATAGAAATATGGGAGTGTGAATAGTAACTATTGTATGTTTTGCAATAAAAAAAAGTATATATATATATATATAATAACATATATATATATATATATATATATGCCCAATTTTATGCTTTTCATCTTAACAATTTATGATGAACTTAATCTAGTTTCAATATTGTCGGAGTATCTTAATATAAAACAATCCGTTTAATTTTTTTTAATCTGAATTTCGTTGCCACAAAACATGAAAGGGGGTGTAACCTTCATAATAATCAAGCTCAATTTCAAGCCATTTATAGAAACATTTTAACAGCAAAAAGTCATAAATCATAAAATCTAAGAATCTCATTAAAAACGGGTGCTGAGAAAGTGAGAATCAATGATTTATACCGTACAAGTATCATGGTTCTAATTCCTCTTGAACAAAGATTAGCCTCAATTCTAGGGTTCCTTAGCATCAAACTACATGAATGAGCTTTATTATGATGCCAAAACATCATGCTGTAGTATGAAGTCATTTTGAATCAAACATGTTTGTTTGTTTTGGAATTGTTGGAGGGAGAAACTCAAGATGTCTATACATCCCTTGCCTTGGCTACTTCTTTGGCACCAATTCTCTAATTATTGACTTTTAGAAAGAAACTTTCATTCGTTTGCGTGTAAGCTATTATTAGGCCCTTTTTTTTTAGTTTAATTCGTAGGTAGGCTGTGTGCACCTTTGTTAGTCTCAAGTGCAACAAATGAAGACTAGACTGATCCAAGTAGAACTTATAATAAAAGAAATCATTGAAACCTTTGAAAATTCTTGGTTCTTCACGAGTCTTCTTCACACATTACCATCTGTATTAGCAATTTTGATTAATTTTTTAATTTAACTGCTTATCCCTATTTTTATGATTAAGAATGTCCTCAAAGTTCTTTGAAATAATGTCTCAAAATATATTTTTAAAGTAAAGTGATATATGAGTTTTCCCTGGCAACAAAATCCATGACTATATGTACAATGAAAAAGCTTCTCCTCACATAATAAGATTATTCACATATCTAATGATCTTAAACAGAATACATACCATGATTTTATTTCTTGATTTTATACATAAAACAAAATTGTAATATAAAATTTGAAAACTATAAATATCTTAAAGATTACAAATTCTTTAAATAACTCTTTGAATTTTCACACACTCAGAGTATTTGAAATTTGAATTATTTTCTTAACAAATCCTCCCTTAATTAAAATTTCTAAATAACTAGTTGATCAAAACATTTGTCTTCTCAAAATTTGTCCTTCCAAGTAATAAAAGTTTTTCTCATTCGTTTTCCCTTGTAATATCAAGTGTCTCCTTTTGTACATTTTGCATTCCCATTTTGAACTAACATATTTATGACCTTCTAATGTTATTTCTTCTAAAATTATATTGGACACAATAAAAGGTTCATTCTCACAATCCCAATGCCTTTAACATTCAATTTTTCACTATTTTCTAACTTGAACTAACCAAACTTATCATTAGTTTTTAAAGTGTGAAACAACATTTGGTTTATACAAATGTGTTTTGAGACAATATAATTCATTACCTATTTTGATTTAGCAACTTCCTTGGTAGTTGCCCGATAGACATCATCATCAAAGTTTTGGGTTATATTAGCTTGGAAGTTGTGATCATCACTCCTCACAATTCTTGATTTTTTAAAGTTCTCCCTCATTTCTTTACACATTGATTGCATGTGATCTATTTTTTCCACAATATATCTTATTCCAAATGTGATTGAAAATTTGATTTTCCTCTAGGTCTATCTTGTCTCCATGAATTACTTCTCCCTTGCTCAAAATATTGCATAGCCAGTGCATGACCTCCAATATCAACAATCTCATTTTTCATCATTCTCTCATTTTCTCTTAAAGCAACTATCACCTCATCTAACTTCAATGATATTTTTCCTACAAGCAACATCTAAACTAAAGATTTATAAGGCTTTGGTAGTAAAACCAACGGCACTACTTTCTATTTATCATAAATTTTTTAATTTACATTTAACAATTGGCATACTGGCTGGTTGAAATAATTAATGTGATTATAAAGATTTCCTCTCATCTATATTTTGAGATGATATAACTCCATCTTCAAACATAGACGATTGGTCAATGACTTATACACATAAATGTTCTCAAACTTCTTCCACAAGGCATTCGATGTTGTCTCCTTTAACATGTTGCACTTGATCTCGAAAGTAAGAGCGACTCAAATCATGCTAACAACTTTCGTTTGGATTTGACTCTTTCATTGATAGTATTTGACTTTTCATCTTTCGAAGCATGATCAAGACCTTGTTGCACTAAAATATCTTGAATAGTACATCGTCAAATCATAAAATTTGTTTTACCATCAAACATATGTATGTTCCATATCATAGTTTTGATGCTACTGATGGAAAAAATCTTTCCGCATATGATAAGATTACCTTCACGTTCAAGGATCTTAAATGGAACACACACACTGTCATTTTATTTTTTTTACTATATAAATATAGAGAGAGAGAGCAAAACTGTAATACAAAACTTGAATATTATAATCATCCTAATTTAAAAAAAAATCCCTAAAAGATATTAACACAAATTGATAAAAGTCTGTAAATTTAAATAATATCATGAAGATTACAAATTCTTAAGATAGTTTCTTAAATTTTTGTTCACTTAATTTATTTAAAATTTGAATTATTTTTTCAACAATTTTAAAAATAGGTGGAGCAATATATGAGTTTCAACAAGCAACAAAATGCATATATAAGGAGAATTCATTAATGCTGGTAATTAAAATTATTGAACTAGTAGATTAGTGACCAAACTACACTAAAGTTTGTTCATTAGAACAAATATAGCAACCGTACAAATAAATTTGACTATAGTCTCATAATAATTCAGCATGGTCCTTTAAAAGAAGTTCTTTTTATCAATATATTTTGGAGTGAAAATGGATTGGGTAGAGTTTAGACTATTTTTTATCCAACTAAATTAAACTTGAATTAGGTTGAGTTTGTGAACTTTTTTAATGTATCTCAATCTAACCCAATACAACAATAGTTAGGTTGTGTCAAATCAAATCATTCGATTAGATAATTA